AATAAACGTGACAAACTTTTCACTCAAATCCACTTTTTTCCCCTCTTCAAATGTTTTATGCAACTCTTCCACAGACTGATATTTTTATATGGTAAATGGCCTGTATTTGATATAGCGCCTTCTAGAGTCCTAGAACCCCCCGAGGCGCTTTACAACACAATCAGTCATTCACCCATTCACACACACATTCACACACTGGTGGGGATGAGCTACAATGTAGCCACAGCTGCCCTGGGGCGCACTGACAGAGGCGAGGCTGCCGAGCACTGGCGGCACCAGTCCCTATGACCACCACCAGCAGGCAACGTGGGTTAAGTGTCTTGCCCAAGGACACAATGACAGCGACAGACTGAGCGGGACTCGAACCAGCAACCTTCCGATTACAGGGCGAGCACTTAACTCCTGTGCCACCGTCGCCCCGACTATATGATCGCCAAGACTTATATGACAGCATTTAGCAGTAAATCTAAACATCATTGTGCAAATACAAAATAAAAACTGCAACACAGTCTACTCTAAGTTCCAGTATGTCACTCAAGGATGCTTGTAAAGATTTAACATACGAGAGATTTAGAGATCAACAAAAACCAGCCTAGAAAGCTTACGAAGAAAGACAATTTTATGTTTCACTCCCTAATCAAGGGAACTCATCAGTTTCACTGAGTAAAAGTAGAAACCATTAATTCAGACATGATACCAAAAAAAAAAAATCACATAAAAGAAGAAACATTCCAAACGTGAGTGCGCCTTAACACCACACAGACGCCGTTTCTGTGGTTTTTTATCTCCGTGAATCTAAGCAAAGAAAAACACAGAATGAATAAACAACACGGGAACACGACCATGAGACAAAAAACAAAAACAAACATGCTGTCTGCCATCTTTTGAGTCAGAGCCTGATCTCCCATATGCTTCATTAATCCAAACTCAACATTACATAACTGTACTAAATACTCACCAGAGTGGAAGAGCACAGCGACTCTCGCTGTGTCTTATGAATGTCTGTGTGTGTGTGTGTGTGTGTGTGTTAGTGTCTGTCTCAGAGTGTAGAAGTAAGAAAGTCTGGATCAGAAAAAGTAAAGCAGTTGTTGAGCTGCTCATTTTATAATCTTTTTGCATCTGCTTGCATTTGTTGGTTTTGTGTGCTGCATGTCAGACAGAGGCTATTTCTTCCTTAAAGCATCAATATGTAAGAATTTTACAATGAAATAATCACTAATCAGTCTAATGTTTCAATTTAACAACGATCAGCAAAAAGCTCCAGAGAGCTTTAAAAAACCGAAGCCAGTAAACAAGAGCAACCCGGGAGTTCTTTCTTGCAACCGTAAGAAGCCTTGACTTCCTTTTGCTTCACTGTTATATTGGGTGAAGCAAGCTTGAGGCTAACATTGAGCTAACAATGCTAACAGTGGATTAAGAAGCAAACTGTTGGCTCTAAACATATTTCAAGCTACTTTTTCAATCACCAACAACTCGATATTATGGGGCACAAAATGGAAATCCACACTTTCTCTAATGCCGGAGGCATACTACCATAATGAGTTTAGTAAGTGCTCCTTACTGTAAAACACCCAATTGTGCTAACACCAGATATGACAACGTATTGATTTACGTAACAACTCATCTAGAATCCTCTGGTGATGATCTGTAACTGACAGCGACCATGAACCTCACAGAACGGCAATGAAAAAGTGAGCTTTTGTTTATAAAAATGGACTGCAGTACCCATATTTGACCACAAGATGTCATTCTTATTTCAGTCTTACATATTACACCTTTGATGATGACCTTGTGAGTGCAGACTTGCACACAAAAAAGCCTCCTGTGACTGAAAAAACGGCAGTCCCAACCATATTTTGTGAAGAACCAAAAGGAAGTGCATCATTACTATCTGTGGTCTTTTATTTAATCAATATTTTGAGTGTTGCTGGGCTATAAATTACTATAAGCGTGAAGTGTGGCTAATGCGTGTTATGAGGGTTATTCAACTTCTGTGTTATATCCATGCCCCATGCAGTGGCGGCTTGCAGCGGTGCTTTGTCATAATGTAGTCCCAAGTCTAAATCGCCTCCTGAAATCCTTCGTGTTACTTCTTAATTTTCAGCAGCAGTCGACATGATTATTGAGCTCCCCAGGAATAACTGGTATCATTACTTCATTGGTACAATGATTTGTATCACTTTTGCACACAAAATGCTAGTTTTGCTATTCATTTCCACAATGCTAAGCTAAAGCAGACTGACTGCTGCCAGACCACAAGAACTACTGTGCTGGTAACAAAATGCTTTTTTCTTACTTATCTAACTTTAGGGAATATGGAAAAAGACAAATTTTCACTTAGGGGTGGAATATCCCTTTAAGCATTTGGCATGTGGCAGGGGTGGTGCTCACGTCTCACCCCTGCCACATGGACCTCAAGGGATAAACCATCAACCCTGAACTTTCCTCGCGGGGTCACACTCATTAACAGTGGGAGGGTTAAAACATTTGAACCAAAAACTACTGATATTTACCTTTTTAAAAAATGACAATATGTGACATCCCACTGATTGTGAAACAAATAGGCTCTGAATTATTGTCTTATTTAACTGATGCATCTTTTCTAACTGCAGAAACACAAATGTTAGTGAATGAACAATAAAATCTTACTGCCATTTTATACATCAACTTTAGCTTGTTTTTTTAATTGTTGGTAACTGGAAAAATAAAATAAATGTAGTTTTTTTTTCTTTTGTGGTTGTTTCTTTTATTTCCAATGCAGGGATGAAATCTTTTACTTTGAAATCAACATCTAAAGTCTTTCAGAGACGTTCCCTAACCACTCATCCTGACTGGATGAACTGGTAAATAAATACCAACGTTTCCAACCAGACTTAAAATAATACACTGTGGAGGTTTACTGTCTGTGACTTTTCACTATAAACAACCAGACATGACTCTGCAGAAGACAGAGTGCTCTCTTCTTAGCAGCATGACCCATCCATGCACTCGCTCCCTCCCCCCTGCCTTTAAAACTTATTCCTTTTGTTCCTATGGCAACCCCATCCTCCAATCCCTTGGCACCTGCCTGCTGTCCAGAAGGTACATGGAGATGTGACACTGACAGATGAAGTGAAAGAGAGCAGGAGACACACAGAGAAAGAGAGCGAGAGAGAGAGACTTGACAGCGTTTAATATTTTAAAAACTTGTAAGAGAGCTCAGTGCAGCGTACCAAAAGGGTCCATTTTCACCTATATATTGACCAACATAGTGACCTTTCATCTACAGCATAAATCCACTTTCTGTTTGGCGTTCTAAATCCAGAAGGTTCTGTGTGAACGCCAGACATCAACATTCTTCACTCTGAATAAGTGAAGACTCCACGATCTTATAGTTATAAGTTAAATAATCATATGTGATGAATGAACACGATGTTTAGCTGAAATGTTTCAATAATCTGTTCTTAAATTAATTAATTAGAAATGAATATTGTTCTTACAATGATCCATTTACATCACAAATGTCTATGTGTTTGATTTAACCAGTTAATCATGGTTTACACTCATACACATTACAATAAGATACTCAGGTTAAAAACATTTTTGTATCTGAAGGAAGGCATGGCTTTCTGAGGGATGTTGGTAAATACTCAGAAACGTGTAAAATTCTGATTTGCCAAACTTGGCCAGAAATCATAAAGTAGTTTAATAAAAGAAGAATTACTTCCCGAGTAATTTAGCTTCCAGCTAAACCCCGGTTCGGCCAAATCGGGAAAGAAGACTCTTTTGAACCAAACTCCTTTGACCTTAAGCCAAAACTTTTCTGCGACGCTGCAAGTGATGACAGACACAACAGCTCTTTTCAGAGCTGCTTCAACTCTCAGACATCCACCTTGGACATCTAACCTGCAGACCCCGGGTTGCATCTCATGGCCGGGGAAGCTGAACTCAGAGGAAGTTACTAATCTCTGAGTATTGTGGATTTGACCTCCGGTGACCTCACCACTCTGACCGCAACCCTCCGGACCGCCGGGAGCAACTCATATAGTGGTGTCTGATGTTGTTTATAAATAAACAACTCTAAGCAATCCCTCACACCAAGGAAGCATGTAGTGTCAGTGGCTGCATGGTGGCGCAGTGGTTAGCACTGTTGACTCGCAGCACGAAGGTTGCAGGTTCGAAACTCGGCTGCGGCCTTTCTGCGTGGAGTTGCGTGCTCTCCCCATGCATGCGTGGGTTTCCTCCGGGTACTCCGGTTTCCCCCACAGATCACAACATGCCCTATAGGTTATAAATTGTAAGTTGCTTTGGATAAAAGCGTCTGCCAAATAAATAAACATAAACATAAATTATTTTACACCCAGATTTCCCAATTTCTCTCAGATACAAAGAACGGTTGCTAAATATCTAGCTTCCTTCACAACACCTCACATCCACCATATCATATCTAATTTTTTATATCTTGTCATGTATCATTAATTTAGGAAAAATAATTAAATTATAAACTATATACTGACTGTCTGAATTAATACAAAGTGTGTTTATGGTGCGTGAAAAGGCAAAGAACGCTAGAATCTTCTGATTAAACATTCAAAGATCAATCAGCTTTATATTTGATATTTGTATGGAATATCACATTTTATTGGTCATAATTAAAAATGTATTTTACTACATTTTACTACAAGGTTTTATGCAGCTGCGTCTTCTTTTCACAAAGAATTGTGTGCATCCTCAGCTAAACGACGAAGCAATTAGTGAATATTAGGAATGTGTGATATTAAAACTGTGACTTTACAGCAATCCCTCACACTAAGGAAGCATGTAGCGACAGTGGAAAGCAAAAACTCCCCTTTAACAGTATGCAAGATAGCGCAACCATTTTCTTTGCCTTATTTTTCATAACATAATGCAAGAAAACCAACCAACCAACCGAAAATTCTCTCCAACAATCATATGATTTGTGTGTGTGTGTGTGTGTGTGTGTGTGTGTGTGTGTGTGTGTGTGTGTGTGAGAGACTTACTTTGGGTGTGGGGCAGGAAGCAGTGGAGAGGCGGGAGGTGGCCTGGGCGCGGGGTGACTCTGAGGGCGTGGTGCTGAGAGAAGCTGCATCCCTGGGTAACACCTGCACACCCCGCGAGATAATGGAGTCTGGGATCTGAGATCAGACACACACGCGCGCGCACACACACACACACACACAAATGCACGCACACACGCACAAATATATGCACACACTTTCATAAAAACACAGGACACACACTACGATCCCATTATTCTGAAGATTTCAATTGACAAGCATTATGTATTTATATATTTATATTTTCCAAACACAACTAATTTGTGTGAAGGATCACAAACCAGCAACTGACTAAAACTCAAAACATGACAAGTTGATGGTAAATGATATCAAGCAGGGTTGAGATGTTGGGTGGTGGAGTCTTACCAATATTTATCTGTGATGGGACAATGGGATGAGATGTTACCCTGACAACAGAGCCATAAAGTATGGTCCAGGCTGTAGACAGGACAGGACATGATGACATGGCATGGACAACCGTCTCACAGGCGCTAATGAGACAGTAACTCAAACATTTTATCTGTCACCTACACTGAGATTTAGAGAATATGGTGAATCTGGATGAAATGAAGACAAACTGGACTGGACGGTACGTGAATGTAAACATTGGGCAGACACAGAAATAGAATAAAAGACGTATACATATTTTATAGATTTCTAAAGATTAGATTTCATTTTCCTATTTAACATTTAGGTTTAGCTTTCAGATTTAAGATTTAGATTAACATCTGGATTTTAACATTTGGATTTAAATTCAATATTTAGATAAAAATTTTCTATTTAACATTTAGATTTAGATAAACATTTAGACTGAGACTCCTTTAGAGATGGGGTGAGACGCTCGGTCATCCGGGAGGGGCTCAGAGTAGATCTGCTGCTCCTCCACATCGAGAGGAGCCAGTTGAGGTGCCTCCCTGGTGAGGTTTTCTGGGCACGTCCAACCAGGAGGAGACCTAAAGGTAGACCCAGGACACGTTGGAGGGACTATGTCTCTCACCTGGCCAGGGAACGCCTTTAGATTTCCCCGGAGGAGCTGGCCCAATTGGCTGGTGAGAGGGAAGTTTGGGCCTCTCGACTTAGGCTGTTGCCCCCGCGACCCAACTCCGGAAAGGCGGAAGAAAATGGATGGGTGGATTTAGACTGAGATTCATAATTTAGATTTAACTGTACAGATTTAAGAATTATGGTTTAACTTTTGGATTTAAGATTTAGATAAACATTTAGATTAAAATTCAATATTTAGATGTAATTTTTAGATTTAACATTTAGTTTATGTAACATTTAGCTTTAACTTTTAGAATTGGATGTAATATTTAAATTTAATTTTAACATTTAGATTTAAATTCAGTATTTAGATTAAACTTAGATTTAACCTTTAGATTAGCTAACGTTTTGAAGGTAATTTTCCATCTTAAACTTGAAAGTGTGCTAAATGTAAGAAAAGAAAGCTAAATATGAAAGTGTCTACTTAATCTTTTGCATGAACAACTTACACTTGGTGTCCCATAGAGAGCTGTAGAAAAGTTGACAAACTGGAGACTTTATATCCTTTGCAGCTTTTATGATACTTAACAAAACTTTTGGATCCACATGCTTGTATTTAGTAATCTTTTTAAAAATTACTTGACTTTTTTAATTGATAGATATAAATTAAACAGAACAACAGACTCTTCTCTCCCCTTATCTGTTCTGGTACCTTGGCAGCAATAGAGGCAGCAGTGATGTGGGAGGAGGAGCTGTCCTCAGTGGATGCCACTCCGCTGTCCTTCTTCTCCTCATCTTCCTCCTCACATTGTACACCTTTATCTTCTGTCTGCCGACGTGGCGAACTGTTGGGAGGCGGCGAGAGGGGCGGCGGTGGCGAAGGCAAGTCTTCCAGCTCGTCTGCTGCCTCTTTTACCTTCACCACTGCATCCCGGAGGAGGTCGATGGCATGCGGCAGCGCTGGGAGGATGAATTGAAAGCATTCCTGAAAGGATGCAACACAAGTTATTTTCCCAACTTAAACAAACAAATTTCTTTTAACACACTTACTGTAAACCAACGAACACATGTCTTATGAGGCTTAGCAGTGAAACCTGTTGTAACTTTAGGTGTTGCAGCTTAATCAAGACCCCTAAAGTAATTTTACTTTGAAGTTTGACTTTTATTTCCATCCTTAGATGTGAGATGTGCTAGTCTAGTTCATTCTCAAACGATGAATATTTTAACTGTTCTTCTTTGTGAGCTTCGAGAGTCACATTGAAATAGCACACGTCCTTTATATGTTTTGAAGGCTTTTATTTTGAAAAAAAAAGCTATAAAATAAAGTACTGTAGATCAGTAAAGAATGACCATATGATTAACTTAGAGACATGCTAATAAACACGTAATCCAATGACTGGATCAGCCTTAAGGCAGGATAGTGGACCTCGATCAGGAAAAATATTCAGAGTTTAAAAGCAAGTAAAGAAAAAAGGCAACATGTTGTTAATGATTCAGGTGGAATAAGTGCATTAAAATTGCCCTAAGGAGACAAGAAATGACAGTAGAGCAACACAATGTCACAAATTCAACCTAATAATGTCTAAAATGAGGTGGACAACACAACTCCAGGAAGTAAATGAATTGCATCTCTCCAACCATGGGAGTGTTGTCTGATTTAATCTGAAATGACAGGACATGACAGCACCACCTACTGGCCACTTTTCCTGTCTCTCCATTTTCATCTCTGTCACCATGTCTGCAAGCTCCTGAGCAGTACTAAACGCTCAGTTATCCTCACTCCCAAGACAAAAGCTAATCTGTAAAATTATTTATCTCCCTGTGTGTTTTAAGCATTGGATGGATACATTATTAAACATCTCCACACTTTACATGGCAGCTGGTGGAGCAAGCGTCCTCTGCTGTCGGTTTCATGTTTGCGTTTTTTCCGGCTGGATTAAATCTGACAGCACTGACTTTGATTTTACCGGATTCCACAAATCCACTCTACAGTCTGGATATGAAATTGACATTAAAGCAGAACAGAGGGGATTCCTTGCTAACGTCATGTAACTCTGAAGCTATGTGCTAGCCTTTGCTCCTCGTACACACAAGCTGCAGTATGTGGATGCGTTTTTAGACCACATCTGGGGGGGACTAGGCTGAAAAAAAAAGCAGTGAGGACTGTGTTAAACATTTTCCTGGCACACAATGAAAGGACAAGACAGGAAAGGAGGAATGCCTCCAGGCTCTTAAGTTACATCAGGAGTTTTTTTTGCTCATATTCACTGTTTTGTCCTAGAGGAGAGTCGCTGTAAGGAACACTAAAGAGCAGAATCCTGAAATGAACTGCCAACGGACGAGAGAGAAAGGGACACAAGAAGATGGGAGGGGGTTGGTTGATTGGGGGGAGACAAATTCAATGACCAGACCTAAAATAAAACCACAAGACTTAAAACTGTGCAAATGTTGGATTTGTGTTTGACCGTTACCTCTATTAACCTCCTGAGACCCAGATTTGCATTTGGTGTGATGTAAAATAAAATAAAATAAAATACAAATTTTGACAGGTTTTCTAGAAAAAACTGAAATAATTTTTTTTTACTTAAATTCAATATCAAATGTGTCTAAATAATTAAAAAAAGTCTAATTTGAAGAGAATAAAATATTCTAGTGCAAGAAGCCAATGTTCATATACGTGGACGCAGAGTCTCAGGAGGTTAAAGATACTTTTTAAAAATAGTTAAAATTATATCGTCATTCCCCAAATGCAACATGTATTTATAAATATTTCTAAATCACCTTTTAAAATGTTAAATCGTCACAAATAATGAAGTTTTAGCATGCTTTTCATAAATGGAAACTGGTTTTCTCTGCAGCCGATCTAAACAGACAACAACAGCCTTACTGTATATGGAACATAATCAAGCACAAAGATTTGTAGGATTTATGAGCAAAAAGAGATGATGCAGAAGCTAAAACAAGAGCATAACCACACTAATGCTAAAGAAATGTAAATATCAAGGTAAAAGCTGTAACCATGCTGAGGATTCAGGAGCAGAAATGTCATCACAGTGCGTATAAAAATGTCTCGCCCGTGTAAATCTCACATGGAAACTTCATCACTAGAAGTATGACGACGTCAAAATCACAACAGGTAGACTCGCCTAAACATCAGTGGGCAACAATATTATCAGCACATGAAATATACACCTCACCATATAAATAAGGCCTTTCTTATAAACATTTCACAGATTAAATTTGTCATTAGATGTAAGATTGTATAAACATTGGAGTCAGATGGGTGTCTTTAGGTGTTTTAGGAAAAACACCAATCCTCATCATTTTTAATAAAATTATTGTGTCATTAAACTTTTTGCTGCTTCTGAAGGATTAGCTTGTGATGTTTTCACACGCTGAGGCTGACAGAATGATAGCAAAACACTCTGGTGGTGAATGGAGCCTGTTAACTGTGAAATATTTTATATAAAAAACATTAGCTAGATGAACAGCTGCCCCAGAAGATCTTTTTTTATTCCTGACTCGGTTTTTTATAGAAAAGTTCAACCGTGCCTTTCAACCAGACGTTTGAGCAAAGTATAGTACGCAGCAATTAGCCAGCATTATAGCAGGTGGGTACCGTTCTACCAGCTGCAAAGCATCCCAGAAGCATAGTGACACGCTCATGTAAATATTTACACTTTGAGTCTATTATTTATGTGCTTCTAGAATGCATCAAGCTCAGCAATTCAGATTGGGCCAGAAAGGAAGTCAAAGCAATGTAAAACACCTGCAAACTTTCAAAATAAAAGTCAGCCGCAGATTTGCAGGTGAAACCTCTGTAGCAGCAGATGACTTTTTTTGGATGAATGCTGCCGTCTTTGTCGCATGAACTGCCAAAATCACTGGTGGTGTTGCAATTCTCCAATCATTTCGTGACCCTGATGGACCAGTTGCATGGAACGCTTTTGCTACCGCTTTGCATCTGAAGGCTCCTGGTAGGAAGGGAGCTCGTAGGTAAAACGCATCCATCACGTGCACCTGCCACTTATGCATCCAACGGAAAGCTGAGGTACCTCTTTATTTTTAGCTTTAGATATTTACATACATGTAGGTGTTTGTTTTGTTTTGCAGACAAACAGCAAAACAAAAGATATTGATTGTCTCTCCGTGCCAGGTGTGCTTGTTTCGTTTTATTTATCACATCAGAAAGCGGTTTTTCCTACCTGGGAGCCTTTCTTGCTTCCTGGTAAGTTAATGATGAGCGTCTTCCCTCGAATCCCACACACAGGTCTGTAAACACAGGTGTTTATGAAAATAAAACATTAACACTCCATGTCACTGTGCTGATTGAAATGTTTAAACTTAAGTGATGTTGTGTTGTGGTGATTCCATGACCTGGAAAGCATGCCTAGTGGTGTGACATTGAGGGATCCCATCAGCATTGCCAGAGACATCCCCGGAGCCTCACGCTCTATCACCTCCTTAGTGGCCTGGAGAGATGAAACACACAGAGGAGACTGATCATTTTTTAACTAAGCATGCCAATGCCAATCCTCCTGGGGAAAAATGACAAATAAAAAAATTGTGCTGCTATAAAAAGTAAAATATAATCCCATTTGGTTAATTCTTGTAACCCAGGGGTTAAGCATCCCCTGGGAGGGATCAGACGATATTTTTTGTCACACACTAAACCATTCTCTTCACATGGTGCGTATTGTTCTGGTCATTTTTAACTGCGGTTTCTGTACCAGAGAGGGACGTAGTTCCTCAGAATAGTCTCTGTGTAAAAGGTGCAATGCTTTCTTGGTCAGACATGGGAAGTTGAGAGAGCAGGAGATATTTTGTGTTTTAGTCTCTCCCAAAAATTTAATTTCTTTTTTTTTTTTTTTACCTCAGAGTAGCCACTTGTGCTGCACAAGCTTCTGGTGTATTATTTGGTGACAACAGTCTCTTCGTTGTCACCAAAGAGCTTATTGACTGCTCAACTATTAGATATTCTATCCTCAATGCGTAAAAGCCTCATTAAAGTTTATTTATTGCTTATTTATTTGGCAGATGGTTTTTTCCAATGCGACGTACAATTGTCAACCTAAAGGGCATGTTTTGATAATTGGTGGAAACCAAAGTATCTGGAGGAAACCCACTCATGCATGGGGAGAACATGCAACTCTGCGGAGAAAGGCCTCAACAGAGTTTCGAACCTGCAACCTTTATGCTGTGAGGCAACAGTGCTAACAACTGCACCACCACACAGCCCGTACTGTGGTGTCTGAGTCGCCTTAATCAGCTGGTTTGAACAGAGTTTCATTGCAATCATGTGTCAGGTAAAGAAAGAACCGAGTACACATCCCTGTGGAACTCCTTGAGTTTATCTGGAAAACAGAAAATATTGTGGCTAAAACTGATTGTGTGTAAACAATAAATATTTTGAATGTGTTAATTTCTTATGTAAAAAAGGGCAGAAATTATAAGAATTTTTCTTCATTCAGTTTTTCTTTATTTTTCTTATTACTGAATAAAATTCGTATAGGTGTACTCAGTTTTCTATTTTTTTTTTATGAAATAAAGAAGAAAAACAGAATCTAACTGTTGAAGTTCCATGACTCAGTGCCGGAGGATGAACATTGTAGGACAGATAGGGATGTTTTATTTTGCATCCAAACCTCTTTAAGGAAACATTTTAAATGTTTATAAGGTTAACTGTGTCACATTTATGAACAAGAGACCCACAAAGCTGACTTATCTTCCAGACATGTGTCTGTTGGGTGTCCTTGACTTGAGTGACACACTATTAGCAAGGCAGAGAAAATACTTTAAAAGTGAAGAGACACTGACGTGGATCTCTAGCTTGGGTTTGAGAGAGGAGAGAGAAGTAGGGAGTGAAGATGGATGAGGAGAGTAATAAAGTGGGAGGTAACTAAGGAGGGGTGAAATACAGACAAGAGGGAGGCAGAAGGGTGGGGCTGGATTTATGCTTCAGCATATACCCAATGACTGGAATATGAGCGACAGTTTTTATTTTATTTTACTTAGCTGTGGTTTGTTTTTAAGTTAAATTTACAAGATATATAATTTAAGCAATTTGTTCCTCTACTTAGAAAGAAAATTAGTTAGATTTTTATTAATTACATGTGTCTGAAGGGGGTGAAGAAATCTATCAGCAAGGGCAGGAGATGTGCTCAGACATATTACAAAAGAAGATTCTAAGAAGAGCCAAGTAATATCCTTTTATTGCACACTAATTGCTTTCCTTTGCAAAGATAATGCTGCAATGTATGAAGTGAAGGAGGTTTAATTTCATGTAATTTAATGGGGGAAATATATATATGTGTGTGTGTGTGTGTGTTGGAGCAGCACCTGTTTTGTGAAGGATTATTAGCATGAGTGAATTTATAACACACATTTTATTTTGAAATTAAAACTTTAATCATGGTAAGTGCTAGATAAAACACGGTTAATGCTTCCCACTTATGTGTGCTAACGCCAAGAAATCGATGCATGTGCACGAGCAATTTAGTTTATTTGGGCATGCGTTTAGGAAAAATGACATTCCAGCAACATAAGAATCAGAATATGATAAAATGCAACTTTACAGGTTTTTTAAAAAGCTTAAATATATAATAAAACTACTACATAGTTACATTTATAACCTGGTTATAGATCTGGAAAAATATTCATATTACTTGTTATATTACATAACATATGTGACCCTCAAACATATGTAATGAGGAACCAGTCTTTCCAGGAAATTCAAGATTAAAAAGAGAATCGTTTAACATCAAAAGGTTAAACTGCAGGGATCCACCGAGAACAGAAGATATTTCCCAAGTGATTTAAGAGACCAAATCAATACTGACTGCTAATGTAGATGAATGTAGATGTGGAAGAGATAGTTAAGGATTTTTCTGCTTTCAGACAGTTGAGATACTGACTGTTTAATTTGTTAATGGATCGAATGGAAAACACTACAACATGCAAAGCCTGACAGCAAAAACAGACCTTTTAAAGAGCTTATATTTAATCTTTAAAGTTTTTCCCTACTTAGTTTGTGAAATTTAGCTTGTGTGGCTATTTAAAGGTCTGCTAACACCTAACACCTCCATTTAATGGACACACTCTCTAAAACTAGAGTTGAATATTTGAAGTCCAAGCTTTTCATCTCTCACTTGTTGTTACACCCCTCTGTGGGCTCAGCTAGGAAGGAGAGGGGAATAAACATAAGAAGGACGAGTTTAACGAAAAGTAACCCTAATGGGGGAAGAAGAAGGCTTGACAAAGCAAAACCAAACTCAAAGTGTCCTTGTCTTGACAAAGGTTTTATTAAAAAGAAAAGAAAAACCAAAAGAAGGGGCCACAACTCTTACCACGAAATTAACCACTCTAAGTTTATTTAACTAACTAAAAATGTGTAAAGGACCAACCACACTAAGAATCCTAAAATAAATCTCCTTTAGTAAAACGGACTGGAACTTAAGAAAATGGGCAAAATCCCACCGAGTAGATAACAAAGGTTTGTCTAAAAGACAAACCAAACAAAAGGTACTAAATTAACTAAAGTTGTCAGAACACCAAAATTTAGCTCAGGAAACAGAGACTTCAAAAGGGGAAAAACCCCACCTGGTAATTTACCCAAAGGTAGTCTAAATGACTCACCATACCAAAAATTACCAGTTAACTAAGAATATCCCAAAATCAAAAATCCTACGATTGCTTCTTCTCAAAAGTAAGCACTCTACAACCTGGTTTACACCACAAGACCCAGATAACCTCCAAGGGGAGAGAAGAACCAGTTGCTGCTGCAACCCACACACATTTCTCTCCCGTGATGAGCTCCAGCTGGCCGCTTTTGAAGGGCCAGCGGATGAGTTGAAAAGTCCCAGCTGGGCGTGACTGCGGCTCTGGTGCTGTCCATGGTCCTGAAGGAAAGACAGCTTCCCAAGGAGCAGCTGTTCAAGGTGCTGCACTTCTGCACAGGAAAACTGAGTGCAGCACATCACTGGGCTCTAAAACGGCGGCGGCCGTAACACTTGCCAACATCTCTGTTAAAGTACCACTGTAAAAAAGTGTCTGTGAAGGTTCTCAGTCATCCAGGTCATTGTAGTCTAATGAGCTTTGAAAGAAAAGCGTCTGGACTTCTTTGAGTTGCTTGAAGACGTTTCACCTCTCATCCGAGAGGCTTCTTCAGTTCTAAGGTCAAATGGTGGAGAGTCCCAGATTTAAACCCAGTTGGAGTTTCCCCCCCGAAAAGGGAACAAAAGACCCCCTGATGATCTTCTACATAAACACATTGAGGGTGGGTGTGGGTCCTATTCAGCCAGAGTTTTGGGTGAGCTCATTGTGAAACCTGGCCCCACCCTATCATGTGAATTCCTGAAGTGAGATGGCCCAGGATATGTGTGGGCGTTGAGGCATCTGGGAAGGGATCTCAAAACTGGATTATAGATGGCAGACAGTTGGTGTCGTAAACCACCGCCTCTGTTCAAAGATGGTTGCTCACAGTGGACATAAATGGCTTCCTTTACTCCTCTTTCAAACCATCTGTCCTCTCTGTCCAAAATGTGAACGTTGGCATCCTCGAAAGAGTGACCTTTGTCCTTTAGATGCAAATTAACTGCTGAGTCCTGTCCCGTGGAGGTGGCTCTTCTATGCTGTGCCATGCGCTTGTGAAGTGGCTGTTTGGTTTCTCCGATGTAGAGGTCTGGGCATTCCTCGCTGCACTGTACAGCATACACCACATTGTTCAGTTTGTGTTTAGGAGTTTTGTCTTTCTGGTGAACCAGTTTCTGTCTGAGTGTGTTGCTGGGTCTGAAGTACACTGGTATGTTGTGCTTGGAGAAAACCATCCTGAGTTTCTCTGATACACCGGCTACATAGGGGATGACAAGGTTGTTGCGTCTGTCTTTCTTTTCCTCCCTCTCTGGTGTCTGGTCTTCTTTTCTGTGCATCTTTGCTGATTTTATAAACGCCCAATTAGGATAGCCACATGTTTTAAGTGATTCCTTTATATGTGTGTGTTCCTTCTTTTTCCCTTCCGGCTTAGAGGGAACATGTTCTGCCCGGTGGTGTAAGGTCTTGATTACTCCAAGTTATTCCAATTACTTGGAGTAATCAAGACCTTACACCACCGGGCAAGCAATGTTTCCTTCTTCGTCAGCCCACGAGGACAAACTGATTTGTAACAAGCAGATACAAAATTTTCACCTTTCATAAATATTATTTTAAACGTTTACCTCTTCACCTGTTGCCATTGATGAAAGGGAGTCTGTTAAGGTTGAACGATCAGACAAACTACCTAACGGCCATCTTTTGGTAACTCAAACACAAAAATACTGCTTGCTAGCGATGAGTTCGGTATGTACTGCCCCCTATCCCCAGGGGGAAAAAATGCCATCACCTTAAACAACAGAGCTGGGCAACCAGCATCACATTGCAGTTCATTACTAACATTATGTGGGCATTAAGCCAACATTGACCAACACAATATTTACTACTGCCTTATAAGCAACAATAAAGTACAGGAAATAAGAAAAACATTTAACCAGTCTATTACGTTATTATGTACACACTCCACACACATTTACACTTCTGAGATGATTACAATCACTTTCACATGACTAAACAATACACATCATCCCCTCACCCTCGGAAACAGGCAAACAAATGGAGACAAGACGGAAAAAATATGTTAAAAATGACTTACATTGGCCGATACCGATACTGATGCTGATATATTCTGCATCCCTAATTAAATACGTTATGACATTATTCCTTTCTAAGCCCTAAATTGACAGATGGAACAACATTTAACAGATCATCCAAAAACAAACATTTTTTACACAAAAACTGTTGTGGAACATTCATGTATTGTTATAACGCGGTCCTGTTACTTTAAACGTTTAATATTCTCAAAAGAAATCATACCTGCTTTTAAACACAGTATCTAATGAATGTGAAAATATTTGACTAAATTCAGCTTAAACTTTTTTTTTAACAATTACAGCCATCGCCAAACATTTGATCACATGCAGAAAAAAGACCAGCATCGAAACATAAGACTGCCTCTCCTAAATCAAATCAAATCAAATCAAAGATACTTTATTAATCCCAGAGGGAAATTAGAGTTTCAGTACACACAATTCAGAGATCAGACATACATGGGCAAGACACATGACAAGAATTGGTGACTGTGGTCATTCGCAACCCTGAGTCGCGCTACCTTAATAGAGATCAGAGGGGTTATATGGGGATTGATTCAGGTGGAGGGAAAGAAAAGGCACTTCAGAGTTACTCTCCACGGGGAGGGCAGCTTTGCTATGCAAAAAAACACCTCAAACAGATATGCAACAGACTTCAGACAACACAACATAAGTATCCATTAGGTGGGGTGGTGGGTTGGGACTATCCCCACTTCAGTTCCTGCAGCCACGATGAAGCAGCGCATGTCACCTCAGTGTGGATAGGGGGAGGAGCATTGAGGGTTGGAGGGTTGCAGTGACCCTGGAACATTTCAGCTGCCTTCCCACAGTCCCGTCGAGGCTGGGATAGGAGACAGAGTTGAGTTGCCATAGTGACGGCACATTCCACATATCTTCTGAGGGGGGCGTTTTCGTTGGAGACTTGCAGGCTCAATGGCGCCAGATTCCGATTAGAAATTGTTTTGGGGCCAGACAGAGATAATTTCCTCTCTGTCTTACAGTTTGTTGGTCCTCAACCTCTCAAAATCCCAATAATGGACATTAAACTATCCCAATCTGTGCTGATTCATCCACTGTATCCTTGAAGGTATCCATCTTCTGTGCCAAAGAATGAATCTCGGCCAAAGTTCCAAGCTTACGATTCATCTCGACAATTATGTGAGTCTGTGAATTCACGGCGCGGTGCAAACCATCTCTGAGCTCCGGGAGCAGGCCAATATTCCTCGCTTGTTAATTTTCCGGTAAGCCAGGTAGCCTCCAAGGCCAATGAGCAGGAAACCCGACACCAACACCACCAATATCCACATGTCTTCAGAGTCCTCCACAGACAGCTGAGAAAGACAAATCAAGTTCCACTGCTTCCAGGAATCCATGATGTGTCCAACTGGATCTGTCGCGGAGGGGCATCCGGGAGCCCCTTCTCCCGTTCTCATCATTGAAAAAATGTTATTAATCGCATTGAGAGACCAACTGATGAGATCCATTTTAGTGAATTTCAGTTTCCAGTTTCCAGAAAAAATGCAGAAGCAGCCGTGCACCCAGCACACACAGACAGACAAAGGCCTTGAGGATAATGGGCTCGACACACGGGAGGCGACCTCGCCTCTCCTCCATTCATTTTCAATGAGACATGCGCGACAAAGCGATAATCGCGGGTCTCCCTCCTACCAAGCGAAACGCGAAAAACGTGCGTGTGAAATTTTGCGCTCGTGCACGTGTCGTGCACAGGCAACCCAGCGACGCAATCCCAGAAAGTTGAAATATTTTCAACTTTTCATCGCTGTCGCTCGGACGAGGACCAATCAACGGAGGTTTCATTCACTGACCAATGAGCGGACAGGATGCTCCGTACTCCTCCGAGCAAACATGGAGAAGTTGATCATTATTGTTTTATATAGTAAAATCAGAAGTAAGATTTCACGTAACTCTAGCAGCACCTTGTGAAACATCGCATCTACTGCTTTTTCAACTCTGAACCGCTTAAATAACCTTAATTCCCTCCAACCTGACACAGCCAAACAAAACAACGGAAGTTTCGATTTCGCCATAGAACAGAACGCGTAGATGGCTTTGCTGCTGGCCGCTGCCGCGGGTCGCCTCCCGTGTGTCAGGTAATAAAAGGGACAGCGACAAATTTAGCTGATCGCGGTCGTTTGTCACCTCCCGTGTGTCGAGCCCATAAGATATGGAGGAGATGAGAAGAAAAGTGTCTGCACCCTCCAAGAGCCGGAAGAAGCATCTATTTCATTTTTCTGTCGAAAATATGAGTAGTTAGAGAACAATTGTCTACCTCCTTATTTCCCATTTGACCACAGGACTAATTGGTGGTAATCAGTGCTGTAACACACGCATGATCAGCAGAAAACGGCTGCTAATGAAGCACGTGCAGCAGCAGGAAACGTGCCTCTCAACACCCAGTCTCTGTAAAATATAAAGCTCCATTACATTCTGCATTAATGATCATCTTACTTATAGTTTTTAATGGAGCTGTGGAGCTTTTACTTCTCTAGAAAATGCCTTGCCCCAGTCGGTTTGCGGTTTCAATCAATAACTAGATCAGCTTAAAGGTGCCATCTGAGATAATTTTTTTGCCATATTGCTTGAAATGCTCTTCACATACAAATGGCAACCAATAAAATTTACTTTTGTCAAAAAAATAATAACTAATTGCTTCTGAAATGTACAATCTTAGAAAAACCTCATCTAATCCAGTTCTGGTTCAGGACTGGATCATAACCCGTCCATCAAACTGCTCCTCTGAAGGTCTCACCCTGCTGCACGACCCCTTCTGTCCCCGAAACGCGCGTTCTCGGTGGAGCAATGGAACAGGAAGTCATGCTAGCTTAGCTGCCTAGTGTCACAGACGGAATGTCCCGTCATGTTTGGAAATCTCATTTAAAGAATTGTTTTATATGTTCTGTTTAGAGTCTGGTTCTGCTTTTTGTTAGGAAACTTTAGGGGACGGAGTTACTTTATTGGAACGCAGCTAAGTCTCAGCTCTTTGGGTTGTGCAATAATTAGCGTGTATGATTGTGTGTGTGTGTGTGTGTGTGTGTGTGTGTGCACATCACCATGAGCAAGCAGAAAGGATGGAGTTGCTTTGTGTTCTGAAAGTTTTGTTGGTGGTGGGATTTCCCCAGATTGTGATTTTGAATTTATGAATAAACAAAGAAAACTAAAAACTGCCTCACTTTCACCATAAAAACACCACACCAGATTTATGCTAGCATGCAAAATTTTTGGGGGTAGAGGGGAAAAGAAGCAAGTGGGAAGAGATTCTGTTGGTTCTTGAAATTATGACCTTAGCAGCTCAGCAGAGCTGTGTGCCTAGCACTTGCTTGTGTGATTGTATGTAAGCTGGTGTTGTACCATTTTCTGCAACCATCAGATCCTGCAACTCCAGGAGGAGCCTGAAGAAAAATGTAGCTTGCTTTTACAGCTTTTTACCACTGCACCTTTAAATTTATAAATTGTAAAATAAGGAAATTTAAACACTGAGCAATTTCCTGCTCCTCCACCCTACTGGTTGAAAGTGACATTGCAACTGTCTTAAACAACCCTGCTGTAGCTAGCGCTGACAACAAGCTAACTCTTACATGAGCCAACTAATACTAAAATAAACTACAAAGTAAAAAGATCCAATTAGAAAAAATACAATTACTTAAAAGTCCAGCAAAGGTTGGTCACTATCAGTCCGTGATTTTGGAGCCTCCTTTAGCTCCCTTAAACTAGCGTAGGCTGCGCTGATGTTCACTCTGGTTTTAGCTCTTTGCTTTGCCTCCATCACACTCTTACTTTACTTCCAGGCTTCGCCATGATGCCAACAGAACCAACATACTTATTTTTCTTCTTATTGTGCTTTTTATTGGCAAGTGGCGAACTGAAATGCTAACCGCTAGCATAACAGCTAAAACCTGCCTGCTCCGCAAAAATGTATCAGTGCGGTTTTTGTTCAGCAGAGGGCTGCAGAGTGGTGTCAAATATGAAACAGTTCAATCACAGAAATCCATGTTAAAGCTCTAGCTTAACGTTTCAGAGAAAATACTTGCAGGATCAGGTTTACTCGTTTCACTTGTGTTGTTTTTGGGTTAATATGTGAGCAGAAACAAGTAAAACAGGTGCTTACTTCTGGTGTGACGTCCCTTGGAGCGAAGCCGGTTCCTCCGGTGGTGAGAATGAGGTTGAGTTCTTTTTCATCGCACCAGTCCACCAGTGTCTCCTGTGTGGAAGCACAGGGATAAATAAATAATAATAATGAAATCAGCATGATAGACCAAAAGGAACAATGTGGCATGTGATAGGCAACTCACCTTAATTTCATCTATTTCATCTGGCACTATCTTGTAGGCTGAGATCATACCCCCCAACCTGACAAAAGAAGAAGTCCTCATAAGAACACATCTGGAATGGAATGAAAACACTTCCTGTCTCACACAGGTCACACAGGTCAGAAGAGCCGCACGCCTCATCAAACATTTATGAGAAGTTAAACCCTGGATGACCGTCTCAAGGACATCCTTTATTAGTATACAGCACACAGCTTTGTTGCCACAAGTTCTACCAGAGCAGCATGTTTAAATGATCTTATTTAACATTTCGGAAAAGTTTAGAACAATTACTTTCTTACTTGGTTTTTTTAATCAAAATGAATTGGAAAAAGAGACTTGCTTTAGTAATCCTCCCTATGTTTATTTAGCATAAGCGTTCATCAAAAGTGACTCACAGTTGAAGATAAAGCAACACAACAAACTGACCTAGCACGCATGTTTTTAGCCTGTGGCAGAAAACCGAAGAACCTGGGGAAAATGTCACACCTGGGATCTTCTTGTTGGGAGGCATCCGTACTACTAACTGATCCACTATACTAGTCAGACTAGCAGTTAGCTCATCAATCTGGTCAGAACTAATCTTTTTCTCTAAACTGAGAACACCATCTACAACACGTAAGGTGCGAGTTCATGAATTTGTTTCCCAAACCCACTCACAGGTGAAGTGAGAGTAAAACAGATTATGGGAATCCAATTAGTGACAGTATTATAAATTATCCGCACTTGTATAGTGCCCTTCAGAGTCAGAGGACTCCAAAGGGCTTTACACTACAGTGTGTCATTCATCCATTCACACACACACATTCACACACTGATGGTGATGAGCTACGATGTAGCCACAGCTGCCCAGGGGCGCACTGACAGAGGTGAGGCTGCCGAGCACTAGCGCCACCGGTCCCTCCGACCACCAGCAGGCAAGGTGGGTTAAGTGTCAGCAGAATTCTCTGTCCCAAGCCGGGATCGAAGCTTCCGATTACTGGACAGCCCGCTCAACCTGTTGAGCGACTGCTGCCCCTATTATGTAATACATCAACAGGTGAGTAACATAAAAAATGCATGAATTAAATAAATTTATCAGTGAAAATTAGATTTAAGAAACTGTCCTTGAATCCCCCTCCTGGAAGGACTTTCCACAAATTGTAGGAGTGGGGGTGGGAGCTCATGCTGATGAAGCTATAGCGACCCCGTGTGGTCAGTCACAGTAAAGCATCTTAAGAAAAATCAAACATGCAACCTCAAGGTGAAGAATCCGCACACAAAACGTTAATTTCTATTTTAAAGAAAACTACTTCAGAGGCTTCAGCATGGTGTTTCTCAAATAAGCCCCAATGCAGATCCTCATTACAAAAAATAAAAACAAATTCTAAAAAACAAAAATAAGCTGCTCAGGTTCTGACAAAAAAGCACATGCACGCACGCACGCACGCACGCACGCACGCACGCACACACACACACACACACACACACACACACACACACACACACACACACACACACACACACACACACACACACACACACACACACACACACACACACACACCTTCCCTACTGACATTTCTATGATGGCACGAGGGATTTACTTCTCTTGATTTGTTGAGAAAGGAGGGAGGATTTTGTGTGTGTGTGTGTGTGTGTGTGTGTGTGTGTGTGTGTGTGTGTGTGTTTACATGTACTCATGCATGTGCACTTGTCCACTTATGTGTGAGTGCATCTGTGTTACACCTCGGGAGAGTAAAGGAGCTGTCAGGACAAATCACCTCTCGCGCCCTCTCAGGGTTTTCATGCCTATCTGTTTCAGTCCAAATGAAAATATGCTTCAGCACAAATAAGTAGGGATCCTTCCCACCGTTTCCCTGGCAACCCCTCCTGTCAGAAGCCTCCGTTTGCTGTGTTGAGTGAGTTTGCCACTGAGTGTTATGAGTTTGTTTGCTTTTCTTTAGTTTATAAAACAGATTTTCACATATTCAGGTAGAAATAACGTTTGATGAATTCTGTATATAACAACAGGCCTGTCATTCCTAGGACGACATATCGCCCTCCATATTTCTTGTTTCTTCACCGAAAACTAAACGCAGGTTCATACAACAATGATGTCAGACCTTTTAATAAAATACGTCATTCTGCTAGCAAATGTAAATAAAAAATGTTATAATAGAAATGCAATTACTATGATCCCAGAAACCGGCTTAAATTTTATGTTTATTGGTAATTCATAGGATGCAATTTTAAGCTATAGCATTTCAGGGTAAAATACAAAATCATTTCCAAAAATAAAAAAATATTGGGGCTTTTAACAACTTTTTCCAAACTTTTTTGATGTTCCAAATATTAAAATACCAATAAATGTAAACAATTTATTATATTTTATTAATTTCATAATGTAAAACCCAAATGATGTAGTTTTAAAAAAACAGCCATCTTTACTTTTGTTGTTTTGTTGAATTTCCTGCTTGTTTTGTTTACACCCCAGATCCTTAACATTTCTGGTTTGTTCCAGATTTCCTCTCATTTGAGCAGAATGGCTGCAGCAGAGGCTGTAATTATGAATGCATGAATGAAACAGCTGACATTTATATTACATACTCAACTATTTTAATAGATCAGTTATGCTAATGAGTAATTTGAAAAATCTTTGTTACTATCCCTTAAATGCAACAGTAAAAAAGGCATTAAGATTAAGAAACTTGTATTGTCATACCCTGTTCACATTTACATGCTTGTGATACAAAATTTGAACTCAGGACCTGGTATAAAGCCATAAGAAAAGAGCAAAAAAGCACTAAGGATAAAAACAAGAACCGAGCATGTACAGTATTCCATAGATAACTAAATATGATAAATGTGTGTGTGCAAGTGAAATTAGTCCACTCTAAAGGTGCTCTCAGTACCGATGGGGGGGGGGGGGGGGGGGGGGGGGGGGACGACGACTACTGAGCATTAATAGGGAAGTTAAATGTAGTTTAATACGTTTAGGATTTATTAGCATGTAGTAGTAAAATCCCACCATGCAGATTCATAGGAAAGCACGCATAATTTGTTTCGCTGCAGATGTGGCGCTTGGCCTTTAATTTGAAAGGGTGTGATCTAAACTAAAAGGAGTGTTTTTAAGGAGAAAAGTAACATATCTTTCTCCGTGTTGCAGAGGGTTGTGACACAAAGCTGTTTTTAAACTACTGGCTGAAGTTGGCCAGGGGTGTTGACAAACCCTTAATGCAGGTGGAGGCAGGGATGGAAGATGCAAGAGTGGGACAGAGGGAGAGAAATGAGCACGGTAACAGCTGTGGCCTGAAAGCTTGGACATCTCGGTCAAATCTATGAATAAAAGACGAGCACAGAAAAGAGGATAGAGAGGGGAAGACGGAGTAAGAGAGGAGGCGCAGAGTGAAAAGAGTGAGGGAAAAAAGAGAGATGGACTGTTATGGGGCATGTGTGTGTGTGAGTGTGTGTGTGTGTGTGCATGTGTGTGGGAGAGAGAGAAAGGGTGTGCTGCAAATCAATGGTTGTGGGACCCTTCCAAGAGGAGACCCATCTGCAGGGTGATTTCATTAATAATAATACAAGCTCTTTGTATAAAGCACTCAAACTCTCTCAGTGTTCCTCTCACACGCACGCACGCACGCACACACACACACACACACACACACACACACACACACACACACACACACACACACACACACACACACACACACACACACACACACACACACACACACACACACACACACACTCCGTCCAGGGAGAAGACAAGAACCTGGGTCATCTCCACACTCCCAGCAGTAACATGTAGCTGAGGCCATTACAGCTAAGTTGTTGGTTCATCCATGTGCAGGAAGGAGGCTCTCGAGGGGTCACTTCTCAACATTTCAGCTGATAGATGGAAAGGTGGAGGAAGAGGAGGCGTGGACTAACTCACTTCTTCAAACTCCTGCCGTGTTGAGAGCTCCGAGTGCTCAGCGAGGTTCCACTCCCATGATTCCACTCTCTAAACACACACACATACACACTTTAAAAGAGTGTGCAGATTAGCCTCGCCTCACAATGGTTCAACTGCTTCTTTGTGGAGTAAAAGTCACGGCGGTTCACGTCTGACGGTTTCTCGCCGTTGGCTCCTTCCTTAAACACGCCTCATACATGTAAACAGAAACATTTACCACATGTGGCTAAACGGGCACCACTCATTGGTCTGATATGTTTATTAAACCTGTGAAGAATCTCAGAGGTCCAAGTTATCACAAAATCCTTCTGCGTTGATTTAAAAAAAGTGTCTGCCTCCACAGGTGAAATATGTCGACTCAAAATTCTGCAGGAACGGTGCAAAAATATGCAAAAGTGCCACTTGTCCTCACGTTACAGCGTGCTTTTAAGAAACTGGGTTGTTCGTGCCATTCATGACAAATTCATTAATGACGAGTGCAAAGGCCAATATGCATGTAGTACGTGAAAACGTATTTTATATTGGCTGAAAAATAAGTTTCAAATGTTCTTTTTATATATAAAAAAACTAAGAGCTGGTCAATGCAAATGCTTGGAGTATTTTTATTCTGTATGCATCTGTTTAAAACAAGCGCAAAATTATTAAAAGAAAAATCAAACTCCCAATGTTTCAGCAAATACCTCAAATATAGGAATCATTTTAAGTTTAAGCCTGATTTTAATATCAGAATATTTTTCAACAGGGTTTTTGGAGGTTTAAATTGGCCTAAATTCATGTTTTTTTCAGGTGTTTTAATTAAGTTCTTTTAAAATTTTAATCATATTTTAGGAAAAACTTGTACTTTATCTTTTTAGAGCTTTTTCACAGCTTAACTTAAATTATTATTTCATTTCAATTACCCACTTTTTAATAAAATACATTTAAATGTCTTCTTGTGCTTCTTCAGCTCAAACAGTCATTACTGTTTATTTGTCTAACACTTCATTATAGTACTTTATTTTGTCCACATTTGCAGCTGTATGAAATTTTTTAGAAATAAAGCATGTATAGAGAAACCGTACGTATGTAAATCAGACCCCATTTTGTATTTCCTATCTCCAAAAACTAGAGGCCGGTCGATATATTCAATTTTTTCTATATCGGCCATCAGCCAAAATTATTAAGAGCCGATAAAAATAAAACATTTTTCAAAATAAAACCGTCTCTAAAAGCCTGTAAAAAGAGAATGTATGTATCATCATCTCAACGTAAATGAACGTGAACCATAAGACTCCTATATCTTTTGCGCAAAGCATCAAGAGCCCTAAGAACAAGGTGGATAGCAGCACACCGTACTGTTAGGTGTTTCTGTGTAGAGATGACATTACAAGAAGACTGCGTCCGTGGTCTTGTCACTTCTGGAAGTAACTGGTTGACTGAGCCATTTACATGCAGATGCAGTCGTGGTCCTGCTGCATTATCTGGGTGCTTCGGCATAACTAGAACCAGTTCGCCTTCAGCAAGACCAACGCCTATTTAGCCCATTTAGGGCAATAGTTTGGTTTTCTGATGTGCATGTAAACACCAACTTTTATTAAATTTACAACCAAAGTAGTGAAAAAACCTATAAACCCTCCTGGATGCTGAATCCATCTACATACTGGAGTGGACTGCAGGTGTTTTTCAGGGGTTTTACTTTGGCTGACCAACTCCTGATAGTTAACTCAGTTAGTTAAATCAGCTCTGGTGGCACCCCTCTGACTTTCTTCCAGATATTTTTAGCCACGGCCATTTGCAAAATTGAGTTGTTATCTTTTAACAAAACAAGTAGCTGAAGGGCAAATGGCTCAGCCAGCCTCACACTCTTGTTGCATACATGAAAAAGTACTCACTGAGACGTGTCCATTAAGGAAAAAAAACATTCTAGTGCATCCACTTGGACACACTTTCACCTTTCCATCGTCTTTGTCCTTGAGTCTTGGTATCTGCTCTGCTCCTTCGCCTCGTTCTTTTTTCTGCCACAAATAATCTTTTCCGAATCGTCCTGAACGTGAAAACCGTCCGACTGATTGATTCCACTTGTCAATGTTTGTTGGAAAGATGCTGTGATTATAGTTTATGTTTGGAGTCCTGCTGAGGCACCATGCTAGTTCTCCTCCTCAACCCCATTTCTACCCAGATGTCAGCGTGTCTCTGTCATGGCAGCAGGAGCTCGCTGGTCTACCTGAAGGAGCTGATGATGTGTGGAGTGGATCACCTACAGGATGATCTTTGGCCAGAAGTGAGCAACCATCACCAGCCCAAAAATGTTTTACTCCAGAATCAAGAGCGAACAAAGAAACAAAAACAAAAAAACAATGGTTTACATGGAAAAGGCCCTTCTAAAATCACCAGTTATTTATTTGAACATTAACTTAATATTCCTCAGGTTTGTATCATTCTGGATCTAATTTACGTCAGTGGAGCTGCAGATCTGCAGGTTGCAGACCCCTGAGCACAGACTTAACCCAACCCACAAAGTGTCGCTGATAGACGCGTTTCATTTAGCCTTTCTGATGCAAATCCACAATTGGCTTTCAAACAGCGTACAGTAAAGTCCACAATACACTACCCATAATGCAACATTTGTGCATTATTACTACTCAATACACCATGGTGCATGTAAAAGAACACAAACGTTAATATAAAATTCCCTTTTAGAATCTTGGAAACTTGAACATGACTCTGTCAAAAGAACAGCACTGTAAATACCACCAAGTTGATTTTAGTAATTAAAAATGACTAAATACAGGATCTCCATCAGTGCCACAAGCCAAGTTCAAAAAGCAGCTCTTGCAAAAAATAAAAATAAATTAAAAATTTAAATCTGACTGAAGAGTCACATGCTAATGCTTAGAATCACAATAAATGATCATACAATGTATTTAAATGATAACACAAACACAGACCAATTACATCAAGGCTGATGTAATCCCAAATTTTACAGCTTTGAATATTCACACCTGCAGGAAAATCTCAGTTCTGCATGCAAAAACAAAAACAAAGCTACATCGAAGTCAGCTGATCAGCAAACAGAACATCAGTAGATCTCTCTCTCTCTCTCACACACACACACACACACACACACACACACACGCACACACACACACACACACACACACACACACACACACACACACACACACACACACACACACACACACACACACACACCCCTCCATTCAGACAAACACGTTTCAGATGAATTTTAGATGTTTTTACTGTGTTACTTAAAACTTACATTAGAATAAACTAATTAGGATATTTTATTCATCCATACTTTTCTTTCATAGCTGCAGCTGCTTTGGGTCTTGGTGTTCTCATACCTTCTGAATCGTAAAATACACATTTTTTTGTTGAGAAAACCTCAGAAAAGTCATGCATTCAGCACCAATGGGCTGCATAATTTAAGTACAACATTTTAAAATAAAAAAATAAAACTCTTTAAAATCAGATTACTGTGTGTGAATGCAATTAAATAAAGTTAAAATTAAAGTCCCATTAGTCATCATCACACACTGGTGAAACTTTTCTCCACATTTAACCCATCCTCGTGGGGAGTGGTGAGCTGCAGCAGTGGTTGTGCTCAGGAATTATTTGATGGTTTAACCCCCCAGTCCATCCAATTAAAGCTGAGTGTCAAGCAGGGAGGCATTGGGTCCCATTTGTAAAGTCTTTGGTATGACCCAACTGGGATTTGAACCCCGATCTCCCAGTCCCAGTTAGGATTGGATAGAGAATAAAAAATGGATTAAGACATATTTTAAATGCTACATAGACTAAAACTGTACAAAAAAAGCAGTTTAAAAATGCACACACATGATTTCCCCTTGTTGCGTGACACACTCGACATAGCCAAGGGCTCCTCACACGGCCTCCCTGTGTCACACACAGACTTGACACATAAATTACACATCAGTCTCAAATTAAACATATCTTAGTGGACATGATGAGGGCTGACCAGTTCAGGGTCTCGGAGCGGGGCACTGGTGACGCGTCAGTGATGCTGACTGGTGTCGCTCCGGCAGATCAGCAAATGTATGAGGGGCATTTAAATAAGTATGTTTGAAAGTCACTGTCAATACAAGCCCGTTTCGGTCTCAATAATGACTCAAAATCAGTGAAAACAAGGAGAACTTATATCTGTAGCATCCAGTCCTTAAAGGGATTTTTCAGGATCTGTCACCTGAACCTAGCCTAGTGAACTAGACCAAATTCTTGCTTTGCAAAGTTTGGTCTAGGAACGCGCCACTGGAACCTCTGCAGCCCCAACAGCATTCTGGCTGGCCAATCACAGCTCTCTAGAGGGGTTTCAAACACATAAAGAGCTGTGATTGGTCCATAATGGTGGGTCAATCATAGTACTCTATCTGCTTAGTGAACAAATCACAGAGCTTTATCCGCTTTGTGGGCCAATCAGGGCTCTCTATATGCCTGGTGGGTGGGATGATGCAACAGAGTGAAACAAGAGTATGTTACATTCATTGTCCAGTGGAATGCGGAGATCATTTGAAAGACAACGGTAGAACCCGCCCTACAACCGAGAGCCGTCAGTGGAGCGTGGCCAGACTAAATAATACATTTATTTAGTCTGGCTTGCCAGGCTAACCGGAACCACCTCCGTTTGAAGAAATATGGTTCACATCATGGAGGACTGATGAACTAAAGACAAGACTGAACTCACCAAAAGCCAAAATGTGTTGTTTAAACGGCTTTAGTTTCTCAATTTGACTGCAGCTTATGTGAAATAATATGATAAACCTGAGTTTTAGTTATTTATACCACCTGCAGCAACAACATGTAGCTCTTTTCAGTGAACCCTTCTCTGGCCTAGTGGTAGAGTGTTCGTCCTGGGACTAGCAGATCGAGGTTTAAATCCCGGTTGAGTCATCCCTGCTTGACACTCAGCTTTAAGGGTTTGGATTTGGGGGTTAAACCACCAAATAGCTCCGGAGTGCAGCCACAGCTGCAGCTCACCACTCCCCACGGGATGGGTCAAATGCGGAGATGAATTTCACCAGTGTGGGATCACTAATGGGACTTAGACATTAACTTTTGGTGCATCCAGAGGTCAAGTCTCACTGTAATTTCTTAATTTTTCTGCTTAAAAATAATCATCTAAAACTGGCTGACAAATGAACGTTTATTAAAAATCGTCTCATGAACTGCTGGGAAATGTTGGCGACAGGCTGTTTTACTTTTTTTTAGCCTGATCAATGAGGTCCAAATAAAAGCAGATTGATGCAGTCTAAAATGTTTTACAGAGCTTCTTATGTGTTCTTACATCACTTTTATTTCTTTAACAATTATGATTGCAGATATATTCAATTCTATTGAGTTTGTTTATATAGAAACAATTCAGAGAAAAAGTAACAATAAAGTGCTAAAAAAAAGGTCACTTTTAAGGCCCAGTTTAAAGCAGATTCAGTAAAAATCCCTGACAAACACGATCCCTGAATGCATCAGAAATGATTCCTTTTGCTTCTGGTAGTATTCATGTTTGTAAAGAACCAATCGTACAATACTAATTTTACTGTACAGGTTTAAAAAACTATGTTTGTTCGCAGATTGAAGCTGTTTAAAGAACATAGTTGTGAATCTGCTGTCTGCGGGTCTGCAGCTGTGTAATATGGTGGAATTCACACAGGATGGTGGAATTCACACAGGAGGCGGGGTTTGACCAAATCCAAGGTTCTTATTTCCAAATTCACTAAAATATCTTATATTTCATAAAGAATGACATGTCAACAGTGCCAACGGTAGTATTTTATCATATTGTGCCAACTGTTGCTCTGGAAAATATAAAATAATGCAGACCCTTTATAAAAAGGTATTGTGCTTAAATATAAATAAGAAATAAAGATAGAGTCAAACCTTGTAAATGTATGAACATGAAAGCCATTCTAAACACAGGAAGTAAGACAAAAAAGCAACAAGGCTTTGTGACGACGCGCAGCCTGTTGATGAAAGCAACTGTTGATCTTTTCAGTCATCTTTAAACAACAGAGCCTTGCATGCTGAAGCTCTTTGAGTGCTGCCATGCATGCTGGGAATTCCTCTTCACAAGAAATGCGTTTAATCTTAGTTTCGCAAAAGTCAAAGAACAGAGATGCATGCATGCAGAACGGCCGTGTGTTTGCGTGTGCGTGAGAGATTTTCAAAGAAAAAACCAAATCAAACACTTGAAAGTAATTTCTGTTGGCTGAACTGTTGAGAAAGGGCGAATACTCACAAGGAGGGATCGTGCACGAGGTCTTTGAGGTTAATGCCACTGCGGTCCTCCGCGAGGTTCCTGAAACAGCTGTCGCTCACTGGATAGACAAAGAGAAAGGAAGAAGTTCAGTTAGTTTATTTACGCTAAAACACCAATACAAAAATGCAACAAAATCATTCAGTCGACTGTTTTTTCTTACTTTAACCCTTTATCTCGCCGCTTTGGAATAATAATCAAGTTTTTTTAGGCTCTTTTGACCCCATAAAAAACATGAGGAAGCTTCGTACAATCAAATTGATGTTTTTTTTTTTTTTACTTTACACCAGTTTTAATTATGATTAAATTGCATCAAGGGAACACAGACATCCTTCTTCCCAGACACTTTCCAACCCCTATTCGGGGATCCCAAGGTGGTGTTCCCATACCAGAGAGGAGCTGTAATCCCTCCAGTGAATTCTGGATCTGTCCCAGAGGCCTTCAGCTTGTGGGCTGTGCCTGGAATACCTCCAAATGGATCCAACCAGCAAGCTCTGTTCAACATGGATAACAGAGCCCCTCACCTCACTGGATCGTGTTCTTTCAGTCATGAAGCAAAACTATGAGAATGAAAGATTGGAATGTGGAGTCGGAGATCTTTCTAGCCAGTTAAGTGACACTATGTTCCTAAAGCCAGAGGATCAGCACACCTAGGATCTCCTTTGGCTCCAGGACTATGCCCCTTTTTCCCAATTCCAGGTAAGGTATTCGGTGTCTTGAGCGCCTACTCAATATATTACTGTAGTGAGCAATTGGCCAACAGCCGCATCACCATTGCATACGTACACAGACCAAAAAGCTAAAATAAGCAGAAAGAATCCATCAAAGATGACGAGATGTGTTTCATTTCCTTTGATGGGGGCAAACATGATTGGGTGAGCTCTTGTCTTGGAATAGACACAGACGAGGCAGTTTAGAGGGTGGAGGTGGTGCTGTGGTGGACTTCAGCCAAAAACTAGATGTGCTAGAAGCAGTCAAGGCTGAAAATGTCAAGATGATACTCGAAATGAAGTCTCATTGATCCATGAACGAGGAGGAGCGAGTGAAGCAAGAGTGGTGTAAAAAATGGAAATTGACAAGAAAAAGGCAAAGGAAGGATGCAATCAAACTGAGAAAGGATGAAAACTTTTAGGGAGAGAGATGGAAAAATGGAGTAAGCTGGACATTCTGGTAAAATTGTGGGAGGGAAAGCAGTGCCGATGGGGCAGCTTCATGGAGACAGAGGTAAACACGGGGAACAGCACGGAAAGTGCTGACATTTGCACACCAGGCCAAGTCAGAAGGAAGAGAGGAAGTAACAAGGGAGACAGGGAGGCAACTGGAGGAGGGTGGGGGTGAGCATGAGAAACAAAAAAAAAAGGATGGCAAGCACATGGAATACACCCTGACTCAAGAGGGGCAGTGCTGCATTGATGCATGTGTGTGTGTGTGTGTGTGTGTGTGTGTGTGTGTGTGTGTGTGTGTGTGTGAGGATGAAACTTCTTTCAAGACTGCAGTATTCCTTACAAATGCACACACGCTCACACTCAGAGCCCTCCTCAGTATTTCTCTCCCAGCTACCCCTTGATCTAAAAATAGCCGTTCCACTCTCCTACAAGAGGCAGCAACCATTCTGAACCAATCAACACGGTCTGTCGAAGGCATCGGTATCCACAAACCCTGTGTGTGTGTGTGTGTGTGCACAGTGTTTGCACACCTTTTGTGCAACCAGGGGAACTCCTGACTGAAGGTAATAAAACTGCCCCATGCTGCTGCAGAGCAATCCCTTCCAGAAAACAATAAGCTCAGGCAAAAAAAAAAAAAAAGTGAGGAGGAAAAGGTTGGAAGGAAAAGAGAGGGACAGGGAGATCAGGCTGCAACTGAAAGGGGCTTCAAAGGAATATTAATGTGATCCTGAGCAAGAGCTGAAGACAGAGAGGAGAAGCAAACAGGAGGAGGTGGGACGGAGGAAACAGTGTAAAATGATACTGCACCCTCCCAGATCTATGCACCCTTCTCCAGGTGAATCTCTATCTTACAGACATTCACGGCATCTGCTGTGATGTTCTTTGTTTAAGCTTTTAGTTCAATCATTAGATAAGTTCCAGGATCCTGCTTGATTTTTGATGCTTCACGTCACGAGAAGACTCCAAAAGGCCTCTCGATAAGTCGTGGCTGTGGGCCATATCAAAAGAAGGCAAACTGGTCAGATAAGATCATACGTGTAAAGAAAAACAGGTTTTGAAATTTCTAAAATTGTATTTATTGAAGTGGTGGTCACCAAAGAAACGGAGCATTGAAGCAACACTAAAAAGTTTTTAAAAACTTTAAGCTATTGCTTTTAAACTGGTGTCAGTGGTTCTTGAGCCATAAACCTTGTACAACTCTGTAGTACAACAACTACCACTACTAATACTACTACCACTGTAGACTTCAGCTGACCAAATACTGAATGTAAAAATGTTGTGGTTCATGTAGGAACACTAGTGGGAGGTCTCTTCCTGCTTTATAGCAATAGCTGTTTACTCTGCCCACAGACATCACGTACGTAGACACAATGTAGACAGATGCTGCCATGTGAAGCTGCTGTAGCAGCAGTCTGCCATCTTGGGTGGTTTCCCATTCGCTCCCAGGGCTTTTATTTATATTGAGGAACCCAACTAAAAAAATCAAATTTTATCAAGCTTTTTCATAAATCAGACATATGTGTGACAGGGTGAGCATCCTGTCACTGTATCCTGATTGATCATGCGCCCTGGCTACTTGGCCACAGGGATGTCCCTTTGGCTAACTGGTTAGCAAGCATGACTCACCTGGGAGTCTGGGGGTTGAATCCTGCCCAGGCCCTTGTTTCTCCATGTTGCCACATGGTATGGCATTAGGGCTGGACGATAATTCAATATATCTATCAATAGACATGTGGTGCGACAGGGAAAAAAAATGGGTCGATAGTTTCCTTTTTTCAATATAACCTTTTTTCATTACAACCTATCAGGCAGCAGCATACTAGACTCTATTTACTCCTAACCAATCAAAACCACAGACTCGGGCACCCTACGTCACCAGGCCCTCCCCTCTCAAACCAAAACAGAGCATGAGGCAGCAAGATGTCGCAGCAAGAAGAAGCGGAGAAAAAATAAAAATACCCAAAATAAAATGGCCAGGGCTGCACGTGAAATATATTTTCTACAATTTTTAAAATAATTTTTAATAATTTTCGATATCCATCATTATAAAAATATTTCAATCGATATACTATTTTTTATATCGTCCAGCCCAATATGGCATTTTAATTCAAATATAAATATAATTGAAAAAAATTTATATAAATTTCCAACAGGTAGCCAGAAAAGTCAATAGTAATACCACACAATCTGTTGTCAATAGTGCGCCAGCGTGGGCTGCACAAAAAAATGGCCATAGTTGCCCGCCCTGCTTTGCTCCAGTCCAGTTGGGAGTGAAGAGTCAGGGACCCACCCAATATGGAGGCAACACTGTTCCGCTCAGCAGCACATCTGAGTATTCATGTCTATGACTCTGTCGGAGGAGGAGGAGAAGAAGAGCTTTGCTTTCTGTTGACCTCATAGCAGAGCCTAGAAGTAAAGGGAAGAGAGTAGTGTGTTTGGAGGCAAAGCAAAGAGCTAAACTCTGGGTTAACATGGACACGGACTACACTGGTTTGAGGGAGCTAAAGGAGGCTACAAAATGTCGGACTGATGGTGACCTGGCTTTGTTGCTACTTGACTTGTAAAAATATAGTTTTGTCCAACAGTGTGTATCCTTTTACTTCTTGGTTTATTTAGTATCAGTTGGGTTGTGTTAGCATTAGCTCATTGTTAGCGCTAGCTATAGCAGGCTGGCAGTGTTTATAACCATTGTAATTCCACTTTCAACCAGTAGGAGGGAGAAGCAGAAAACTTGAATGTTGCCTTAAATATATGTGATGTCTGAATGTAGAAGGGGTAGATTTAAAATTAAAACATACATTAAGTGATTTACAATGTGCAGGAAGTGTTCTAATAAGCATTTGTTATGTTCAAGTCCCGATTATGTTGCTGTCTGTATTTATTCTCCAACACATCACAGTTGTGTCCTTTCATCCACATTTTATTTTACACCAACAAGGAATTTGTTTTTCCTAACTGCAGACAGAAAATCCATCAATGCGTGCCAAACACTAAGATTAAAACTCAACAATTTTTTCTGCTTCTGCAAATTTCTTTCAGGCCTTTTCTCATTTTTCAGTTTCAACCTGCTTTGATTTAGAATGAGTGGTTCGAAACGGAGGTGGACCATGGACAAGTTGACTTCTACTAACATCTGGTAGTAACACATTGATAACATGACCACTAGGTGGTGATAATTCACCAAGTAGATTTTTAACCTCTAATGGGATTCCAGGCCCAAACCTTCCAAAAGAAGAAGAAGAAAATATCATTTCTGTGTCACCTCTCAAGACAAAAATCACGAGGCGCTTCCAGAACTTGATGTGAACTCACATCTCCCTTCATAATCCTATTTTGAAAAAAATAAACCACAGCTATGATTGAAACTTTCATTTGTTTTTGTTTTTTTACATGTTTACTGTGGTCTCTAGTAGGAAGGAATGGCTAGTGAGTTTTTCTCCATGAAAAGAAAAAAATGCCCTGGCACTCCTGTTCCACGAAGTTGAAGTTAGCCGGTGGGGCCATAGCTTCTACTAGCCGAGACGCGCTCTGCTTTCTCCTGGATGTTAAAACAACAAAAGCCTTTCTCGGTTGCGAGCCAACATGGGTGAGTCCATGTGACGTAGACTTGTGCGGCTTTTTCAGACCCAATCATTTATATAACAAGTAAAAATGGTTTTCTCAGTGAACTTGGTCTTTAAGCTACACTTCTACAATACAAACGTGTGTGTACCCGTCTACATTGGTCCATGGAACACGTGGAAATGAGGGAACACAGAAAACATCCTCAACCTGCAGAAAAAGCTGACACTTGCAAGTACACTTAAGTAAGAAACTATTTGTTTTGCTGACATTGTGCAGAGGTGAAATATAAACACTGAAAAAGCGTGAACTGCTGGCACTTATTTTTTATATG